ATCGCAAAGATATTTGGGTGTAAAAGAAATAATCAATCTTTCCCCTAAATGATGGTCTGGTTCTCTGATGGCAAAATCAAGAGTTAGGAGAGAAAATCTGGAAGCTTGATTAAGACAGAAACAGTAGCTTGGTTACCTATTAATCAAAGTGGCAATAGAATATTTTAAGTAAATTCTGGAAGAAGGTGACATGGTTTTGTGAAACCTTGGCTCCTTGAAAATCAAGGTGATGATGATGAAGTAAGTGCAAAGCACAGAAAATTATTCTGGTAAGCCTTAGGAGCCTTGCTATCCAGACAGATAACACAGAAGATAGTGAATAACCTTGTTCTCTCCCTTGTAAAAGCAGGCTACGTGTTCTAAGATCAATTTATCATTTTAACAGAGAGAAATCAAATTCTAGTTTGAAATTAATATCGGCTTTGGCAGTAAGGATTCCGCAGTTCCCCTGCCTCTTTGGTTAAACTTACCTTAGGAATAAGCCCATCAGCCATGAGCACACTTTTCCAAAATTTTAGCACACCCCTTTGATGACACCAGACTCATTATTTGCAGATATTCTAAGCCAAGGTGAATAACATCTAATTTATATGAACCTTCTACAACTTTCCGTATCCAAGTTTTGTCTTTTCCACATTCGGGAACGCCCGGATGCTTTAAGCCAAACCTATCCCTCTTTCCCTTAAGAGATACATCCTGTTAGCTTTAAGTAGTCATTACTTTGTCATTACTCCCGGTATATAGTGTTAATCGTTTGTATTGATTAAAACTTTTAACCAAAGCAACTCAATTTTATCTCAGAGAAATGAAAGCTAGGTAGAGAATTGAGAACCACCTATCAACACAGCCCAGAAATCTCACAAGAACATGTAATACAACCCCCTTGGTTACTCACACGCCTCTTATGTGTTCTCAAAGTGGCAAAAGGAACACGTCCATTAACAGCACCCAAAGATGTAGCTACTCCATACCATGAAAATAGGAGGCAAAAGTATATATTTTTATATATTAAGACTTTAGTAAATAACCAAGATTTCTGTATTTTATTTTGTTTAGAAATTACCTGGGTATCCAAAAATTATTCATTAATTTACTCAATTTAACATTAGTCTATGATTTTAAAGTTAACTAAGGATGTCGGAAATTTGTTCAAATGGACACACTACAATCACAGTTGCTGTTGATATAAAAGGTTTTTTAGGGGCGCCTGGGTGGTTCAGTTGGTTGAGCATCCAACTTCAGCTCAAGTCATGATCTCACGGTTTGTTGAGTTCAAGCCCTGTGTCAGGCTCTGTGCTTACAGCTCAGAGCCTGGAGCCTGCTTCGGATTCTGTGTCTCCCTGTCTCTCTGCCCCTTCCTTGCTTGTGCTCTCCCCACCCCACCCTCCCCCCGCATTAAAAATAAACATTAAAAAAATTTTTTTATAAAGGTTTTTTAGAATTACTGTTCAATGTACTTACAATTTTTACATATTTCACAATCCTCAATATTATGTAGGTATAATATTAGCTTACCTAACCAGTAAATTAACATGAAAGGTTTAGGAAGTTCATGGTTAACTGGGTGGCTCAGTCATTTAAGCTTCCGACTCTTGATTTTGACTCAGGTCATGATCTCAGTCATTATCGCATGGTCATGGCATCCAGCCCACTTTTGTTGGGCTTTGCGCTGGGCATGGAGGCGGCTTAAGATTCTCTCTCTCTCTCTCTCTCTCTCTGCTCCTCTCCCCTACTCTTTCTCTCTCTCTCAAATACAAACAAACAAACAAAAACTTTAGGAAGTTCAGATTAACTAGCTTATTCATGAAAAATATACCAAACCTTGCTTTTAATAATTGTTATATTATACCTCATACTGATAAAACCAGAGAAAATGTGTATAGCTATTGTTAAGCCAAAAGATTAAATTGGCATGATTTGCTTAAGGATTCATCTTGATTACTTGAATTTTGATTCTTATAAAAATGCTTCTTAGCTAGTATTTTCTATAGGAAAGGATTTTGGTAAGCCAATCCATTTAAAATATCGGAAGCTTAGTTTATTTGGAGGGTAATTCTGGGAATATACGTAATTTATTTAAGTGCTTAAAATCTCTATAAAGCGATTAATTACTTTCATTTGTGAGACATTGTAATCTAATTAATTAATATTTCAGGAAAAGGGAAATATATCGCAATGAAAAGTAAAGCTTTTCTTAATTACGCACAACCCTTCAGAGACCTTGTAGCTTTACATAGTTAGAGGCCATGAACAGAGAGAAATAGAAAAATTCACCGTTCCAGATCTCAAAGGCCTGTTCTTCATTCCAGGAAGAATAAAATATTTTCCTAATTGATTTGAGGTCACAAGATGCCAAACGGACAAACAGAAAAGACTAACAAACCGGTTTCTTACCCAACAGAGAACAGATGCCACCATTTCAGGAGAAATCACCGAACGATCAGCCCAGAAAGCTGGGGCCCTGGTCATTGTTGTCATTGTAGTCAACAATGGCCGATAACGTCCCAGCCATGCACTAATCAGAACCAGGACTAAAGTTGGTCAAGGAGCAGAAATTAAAAAGAACAACTTAGAATTCGATTTCAGAGACAGAGAGCTAGGGAAGATAACGTTTATTACCATGTTTATCATTTGCACTCCATCCCAGGAGCCAAAATAGCATGCTAGGCTGGACAGCCCATGAGGTCTGCTCCCCGTGCATCATAGTTAAATGGGCCCTGGCAGGTTAGACCACTTGGCAATCTTATCGAAGCCTCCAGAACTGATGGGTATAATTACTACGGTTTTCAAAAAGTTAAAAATGTACAAATGTAGAATAAACGTGTTACAGATTTACTGACTCATCCATAAGGGAACTAGTAAGGTTGGTAAAGATAGTTAAAATGGCATTTTGAGGAACAGGGTTACATAGTTTACAAAGGGGGGGGGGCATTCTTAAATAACGGTAGTCATTATAATGGGGTGGGCTGAAACAGGGTTCCCCAAAGATGTCAACACTCAGATCCTCAGAACGCATATTCATGTGATTTTTACCTGACAAAAGAGATTTTGAAGCTGTGATTTAGGTTAAGGATCTTGAGATGGGAGATAATCCTGGATTATCTGGGGAGGCACAGTTTAATTACAAGTCTTTAAAAGGGGAGGAGGGTGACAGAAATGTAGGCGGGGGATGATGTGATGTGAGAAGGAACCCCTGTTGCTCGCTTTATTTTTCTTTTCCTTTTTTTTCTTTTTTTTCTTTTTTATTTTTTTCAGTGTATGAAATTTATTGTCAAATTGGTCTCCAAACAACACCCAGTGCTCATCCCAAAAGGTACCCTCCTCAATACCCATCACCCACCCTCCCCCCCCTCCCCCCCCCCCCCTACGCTCTGCCTGTTTTCAGTTTTTAAGAGTCTCTTATGCTTTGGCTCTCTCTCCCACTCGAACCTCTTTTTTTTTTTTTTTCTTCCCCTCCCCCATGGGTTTCTGTTAAGTTTCTCAGGATCCACATAAGAGTGAAACCATATGGTATCTGTCTTTCTCTGTATGGCTTATTTCACTTAGCATCACACTCTCCAGTTCCATCCACGTTGCTACAAAGGGCCATAGTTCATTCTTTCTCGTTGAGACTGAGGAAGAGGGCCACAGGCTAAGAAACAGAAGCCTCGGTCAGCTACAAATGGCCCTCACTTTACAGTTGGCAAGAACGCAAGGTCCTCTGTTCTACACCTGAAAAGGTGTATTCTTCCCACAACTGGAATGAGCAGGAAAAGGATTCTGCCCTTGAGCCTCCAGAAGGCAATGCAGTCTACATACAAATCAGTTTCAGTGTGGTGACACCTGCTTTGACCTTTTGACCTTTCAAGCTGTAAAATGATACACTGGTGTCCTCTTAAGCCACTGAGTCAGTAGTTATTTGCTATGGCAACGATAGAAAAGCAACGCACTGAGACAGATAAAATTTGTTAACATGCTATAGGTCAGTAAAACTGTCACCTTTGAGGTTATCTTTTCTACCTGATAGATACCTACATGGGGCATTTAACTTCACCAACAGTGATTTCATAACTACCGGTAAATACCAGTGTCAAACACAGGCACGTTGCTCTAGACACTGCAACAATCTTGGTGTGAGTCTGTTACACAGTGCGGCAGTCGATATTGAGAGACCATGCTACTCACCTTTTGCCTTCTTTCCAAGTTTAATTAAGTTTTTTCGCTGGTGAGATGAGGAGGCGTCATGTCAGGTTTTAGATGATCAGCTCCAGGAGGGCATCACCTTATTTGTATCAATCCGTGTTGTCTTGCCTCAATGCCTGACACGCAGCAGGTGCTCAATGAATGTTTGCTGAGTGAGTGAATAAAGCTCTCCTACCTCATCCTGAATGTTTCCTGCCATGCAATCTGTGATTCAACCACCCTGAATTCCTTCTATTCTTTAAACAAGCCATGCTGTCTCTCACCATGAGACTTTTGTATTTCCTTTTCTCTGGCCCCGAGCCCCTGTGCCCATCCACCTTGCCTAGCAAGGAGCCCCACCTTCGATCTCGGCTTAGACCTCACCTCCTCTGGGAAGTAATGTCTGGTTGCCTCATCTCCCCATGATGATTTCCTCTGCTCTCACCATGTCTGTGCTCAATGCCACAGCACTTAACATACATGCGCCTTCTGCAGACCTCCCCTCGATGGTCTAACGTAGCAAACGGTCCTAGTTGAAGCATCAACTCTAGAGTCAGACTGCCGGGGTTCAAACCCTGGCTCTGCAACGGACTAGCTGTGTTATTTTAGGTAAGTTAACTGATCTTCTGTGACTCAGTGTTCTCATCTGTAAAACAGGGATAACATGAGTACCTCTACTACATACAGATGTGGTAAAGATTAAGTATCAAGGGCTTAGGACAGAGCTTGGGATATGGCTAGCACATGGGAAGCTATTATTGTTTTGTAAATTCCTTGAAATTGGAACCACCATCTTGTTCACCACTGTCCTCCATTTCTGACGCAGGATGCCTGACGTGGAGTTAAGTGCTCAGAATCCTCTAGTGACTTGAATAGAATTGTGAGCCATTGACGACCATCCTTTCCCGGGCCCAGAATTGGAGATCAGAGAGTAATGTCTTGGTAGTGAGGTAAGCTACCCAGAGAGGCTTAACTCCAACGCCAGGAGAGGCCTGTCCCACCACCCCCTCCCCAAAATGTCTGGAAGTCAAACAACTAACCAATCCTGGTGCTCCCCGGAAGAGTTTGCTGACTTAAGTCTTCTGGGACATAGGCCTCATTACATCACAGGCACAGGCAACCTATTCCAAAAGGAGTATGGATTCTTAGCAATGGCAGACCTTTCTATTTCTGCCTCGCCAGCACACACACACACACACACACACACACACACACACACACACCTCCTTCCATCTCACTGTCAAGATTCCTAGATCAGGAAATTCTCCAGCAGCCTTGAGACCCATTACACTGACCCTAGAGATCAGCCTTTGAATTTCCCAAGTTTGCTTAGGTCCAGGGTGTCCCTTGGAGCAATATAGAAGTGTTTGCTCTGGCTAAGGGAATGTAGTGCCACACTTTCCTTTGTTTGGCTCCTGGGGTTGCTAGCTGAGCCATCACACCCTTTTTGGCACACAGACTGAGAACTATCCACCTTCAGCCCTTCTGCCCAGTGGGGTTTGGAAGCACCAGCCCAGCCAGGAATGGCGCAGAGCCACTCACACAGGTAGAACCCACAACGGCTTAATCAAACTCACACTCCTGCAGGCATCTGCGTCCAGCCCCCACAGAGTGAAAAGAGAACATAAATTACGAGAAAGGCACAGTCACTTCGCAGAAATTACCCCAAGCCAGCATGGAATTTGTACATGGACAGAAATGATGAGATTCAGTATGAATTTTTAAGGGCCTCATCTTATTACATGCTGAACTGGTGTGGGCCGAATCCAAATGAGCAGTGAGGAAGCATCACCAAGGATGGTCTATACCCTCCTAGTTGCCATTTCTTATTTAGTTAGGTTTTAGAACTACTACCTTTGTGATTCTCGTTTATCTTATTTTATTTTATTTAAAAAATTTTTTTAATATTTATTTTTGAGGGAGACAGAGCGTGAGCAGGGGAGGGGCAGAGAAAGAGAGAGACACAGAATCCGAAGCAGGCTCCGGGCTCTGAGCTGCCAGCACAGAGCCCGATGTGGGGCTTGAACCCACGAACTGTGAGATCATGACCTGAGCTGAAGTCGGATGCCCAACCGACTGAGCCACCCAGACACCCTGTGATTTTCATTTTAATGCTTTTATTTCCCATAACATGAGGGAGCTTGAAAACACAACATAAACAGAAGCTTTAAAAAATGAAATAAAATTAAATGGCACCCCTTTGAATTATTATTGCAATTTTGCCTTTGAGAAAAATGAGCCGGGAAAGTTACACAAAATGTCAAAGGTCATGTAGCATTATGGCTACAGAGACTTAGACCCCTGGATTCCGGATTTCTAGAAACACTGCCTCACCCAGTCCTCATTCTGTGAGTTGGGTGCTGTTATTCCACCATTAGACGGCTAAGGAAGCACTCTCCTGAAGTGGATGAGACTGAATACAGTTTACCTAAGAGAGCAGATATTTGACGAAAAAGTACAGTTGAATTGTGCATACCTGGGTGACTAAGCAAATTTCAATAGTTTAATAAGAGCATTCAAAAAGCTTAGCAGTATTGGCAAAGGGTGTTTCAAATGCCATGCCCGGACTGACCGTCTTCCTCTGTAATCTCTCCAAGGAGAGTGGCTTGTTGACATTTGAAGGGTCATTGTCCCAAAAGGCGGCTTGCCCGGACCCATGACACTGCCAGAAATCACAAGACCACGCTGAAAATACACAAAGACATTCCCTGTGGCCCCAGGCATCTCTGGCTTGAATAAAAGATAGCATTTTAGCAATAGGACCCTGCAATTTCAAAGGATAAACTGGCATCATCCCTTTGAGAATATCACCTTGAGTCCATCTTAGGAAAGAAAGAATAGAAAGTAGCATTTTGTCAAACCTCCTCCTGCCTCCACCCTCTGCAGCTCTCCCAGGGAGGTGGGCAGGTGGGTCGCAAATGGGTCAAGGCCCTGCCTTGATAAACAAGGAGAAGCAAATATAGTTTACCCTTGAACAACACGGGGTTGAACTGTGCGGGTCCATTTGTCTGCAGATTTTTTATAGGCAGTATCTTAGGTGTGTTTTATGATTTTCTTACTAGCATTTTCTTTTCTCTAGCTGACTTTATCGCAAGAATATAGTCTATAATACATATAACATAGGAAATATGTGTTGACCGATTGTTGACGTTATCTGTAAGGCTTCAGGTCAACGGTAGGTTATCAGTAGTTAGTCTGAGGGGGGAGTCAGAAGTTACACGGAGACTTTTGACTGCATGGGGGTCGGCGCCCCTAACCTCCCACCTTGTTCAAGGGTCAGCTGTCATTTGCCAGAGGCCTCTTTTCCCAGGCTCTAGCCTAAAGTTTCTTATGTTTCCTCTCTGCGCCAGGAAAACCTTGCCAGGTGAGCCCTGTGTGCTAGGCCTCTGCCATCTTTGCTCCCTCCCAGCCAACCTTTAGTTCCTGGAAACACTCGGCCTGGCTTCTGAATCCACAGAGCCTTGAGGTGGCTTCCTGGTGTGTGTGTGAGTGACTTCGTGTGTAACTGTCAGTACCTGGGGCTGGCTAATGTGTTCTACCTGCCAGGTAATATATTCCTCCTTTCACGGGCTTCTTGAGACAGTTTTTTTTTTTTTTTTTTAAATTGTCCTTTGAAACTAAGTACAGTTATTACTTTAATTGGTTAAGAGAGAAGTTATATAACACAAGAAAATTATTGGGGCTTTTTTGACATTACACGTTAGTTTTCCCCTCTGTAGATCAAATGATTGCATTTTTAAAACCATTCCTTCTGAATCAGTCATTTCCCAATTTTTATTCCTTGTTGTGATTGAGTCCCCCCTGGGTTCTCCCCAAGAAAGTCTCAATCAAACTAAAACGCTTCCCAACAAGACCGTAAAACATATATAATCTGATACATGCTTCCATTTCCCCAATTTTAAAAATCTCTCTTTTTTGAAACCTCTTTCTTGATATTTACCACTAATGTCTAATTTGTTTATCATTATTATTTTGGGGGTCATGAAATCCATATTTTTTTTATTTACTTAGTTATTTTTAATTAAGGTATCATTGGCACGCAACATTACATTAGTTTCAGGTGTCCAACATAATGATTCAATATTTGTGTGTATTGTGAAAGGAGTAAGTCTAGTTAACATCTGTCTAGTAAGTCTTGTTAATATCCATCACTATACATGATTACCAACTTTGTGTGTGTGATGAGAACTTGTAAGATGTACTCTTTTAGCAACTTGCTAATGTGCAGTACATTATTATTAACTATGGTAATCATGCTGTACATCATATCCCCATGACATATTTATTTATAACTGGAAGTTCGTAACTTTGCACCACCTTCACTTAGGCCCACCTCCACCGTTCACCTCTGGCAACCACCCATCTGTTCTCTGTATATATGACCTTGTTTTTTGGTGTTTTGTTATTTAAATTCTACGTAGACATGAAAGCGTATGACAGTTGACTATCTCTGACTTATTTCACTTAGCATAATATACTCTAGGTCCGTCCATGTTGCTGAAAATGGGAAGATTTCATTCCTTTTTATGGCTGAGTGACATTCCTCTGTGTGCGTGTATCTGTGTGTGTGGACACCACATCTTCTTTATCCACTGGTGAACACCCAAGTTGTTTCCATAATTTGGCTATTGTAAATAATGCCACAATGAACACAGGGTCACGTATATCTTTTCAAACTACCATTTTTGTTTTCTTCAGATAATTGCCCAGAGGTGGCATTGTTGGATCATATGGTAGTTCCATTTTTAATGAGAAATGTCTATACTGTTTTCCATACTGGCTACACCAATTTACATTCCCACCTGCAGTGTACGAGGAGAAATTCCATTTCTCCACGTTCTCACCAACACTTGCTATTTCTTACCTTTTTGACAGTAGCCAATCTGGTAGGTGTGAGGTGATATTTCTTTGTGGTTTTGACTTGCATTTCCCTGATGGCTTGTGATGTTCAGCATCTTTTCATGTGTGTGTCGGCCGTGTGGACGTCTTCTTTGGAAAAACGTCTATTCAGATCCTCTGCCCATTGTTTCATTGGAATGTTGTTTTGCTTTTGAGTTGTATGGATTTACTTATTTATTTTGGGAATTAACCCCTTATGAAATATATGATTTGCAGATATTTTCACCCATTTTGTAGGTTGCCTTTTCATTTCATTTTGTTGATGGTTCTCTTTGCTGTGCAGAACCTTTTTCGTTTGATGTAGTTTTTTTTGTTTGTTTGTTTTCTTTTTTCTTTTTTTAGTTTTCATTTGTTGCCTTTGCTTTGGGTGCAAATTCCAAAATATATATATCACTAAGACTGCTGTCAAGGAGCTTAACGCCTATGTTTTCTTCTAGGAGTCTTATGGTTTTAGGTGTTCCGTTCAAGCCTTTAATTCATTTTGAGTTAATTCTTCCATGTGGTGTTAAGAGAGTGGTTCTATTTTATTTTTGTGCATGTAGCTGTCTAGTTTTCCCAACACCATTTGTTGAAGAGACTTTTTCCCATTGGATATTTTTGGTTCCTTTGCCATAAATTGACCATACATGTGTGGGCCTATTTCTTGGCTTTCTATCCTATTCCATTGATCTACGCGTCTGTGTATTTTTGTTAGTACCATACTGTCTTCATGACTACTGCTTTGTAATAGAGTTTGAAATCAGGGAGCATAGTACCTCCAGCTTTGTTCCTCTTTCTCAGTATTGTTTTGGCAATTCAGAGTCTTTTGTGGTTCCATACAAATTTTATGATTCTCATTTTCTCTTTTTATTAAAAAATGCCATTGGAAATTTGATAGAAATGGCCCTGAATCTGTGAATTGCTTTGGGTAGTATGGACATTTTGGCAACATCCTTCCATCCAATCCATGAACATTAATTTTATCTTTACGTTTTATCTTTCCCCTTATTTGGGTCTTCTTCAGTTTCTTTCATCAGTGTCTTACAGTTTTCAGTGTATAGCTCTTTCATCT